CTTGATATCTGGGAAGTCAGAAATGGTGATCACACGATCCCAGAACACCGCAACCATCATAAATGTGAATTAGTTGCCAAGCTTCTGGACCATGAACATGTGACTGCTATGGTGATAAATAAATGTGAAGACCGGTCTTAAGTCACTTTTTCCAGTGCCATCATAACTTGGAATAAATGCTTAAACAAATGTTTGTGAGACAAGGACTGCCTGTACTTGGAAAGGGGCTTTTGTCAGGCCTGTAGCCAGATTCCTTTTGGATCTTTGGCCTCCCAAACTTTCTATTATTTCACTATGCCATTTCTATTGTGGGAAAATGGGAGGGGGGTGGTGGTACGGAGTTAAATGCTATGTAGCCAAAATAAAATTCCTTTCTAGAANTAAAAAAAAAAAAGAAAGCAAGGAAGGTAACTGATTGGTCAATCAGAGCTTTTCTATCAACACCAAGAAGTTGAAGGGAGGAGTTAAAACTCCAAACAAAAAGTTCCAGCTAAAGGTTAAACCACATTTACCTCCTAATTGAAATAGGGTTCCTAACAAAGATTTTTTTTAAAAAAAATCTGAAAAATAAATGAAGAGAGGGAATTAATCATAAATTATCCTTCTTTCTCCTGCCATGGAACAGAAATAGAAAAGAGTAAGAGAATATCTCATGAAGTTCTCATGCCTTCTTCAAAATCTGCTCCAGAGTGAAACAGGGAAAAATGAACCTAGAAGGATTATCATCCATAAATGTACAAATACAGATATCAAATTCTATTAAGAAGGAAGTAATGACTTATATTCTTCATTAAGTCCCAATATTTTCAATACAGTTAGAGGTAGGCTGTAGGTTCATATTTCTCCCATGCTACCTGCATATGTTGGGTGGCTGGAAAGCCTGGAGCACTGTCCTGTCATGTGTTTGGCTTGCCCTGTTCATGAAAAGTTCAACACTTGTCAGATGCCTTCTGAACTTTCTTTCTTTCCTGTTCTATGTGACATTTTAACCACTGGTCTTCAGGAACTGTATAAAAACAGCTAAAAACACCCCAGTTGCATTATCCAGAGCTAAAGAAGTCAGTTTTTGCTTCTCTCTAGCCCAGGGGTCAGCAACCTGCGACTGGAGCTGCATGTGGCTCTTTCATCCCTCTGCTGTGGCTCCCTGTCACCCACTGGTAAAAAGACAAAGGACACCATGCTAGGAGGAGACTCTATAGTGGAGGAACCGGACTTCTGGTCAGCAGAGGAAAAAGGACACCGTGCTAGAAGGAGGTTCTATGATGGGGGAACCGGACTTCCGGTTGGCTCCAGAATTGAATGGGGGGCTTCTGGTTAGGACCTTTGTGGCTCTGAGTGTTTAAGGTTGCCGACTCCTGCTCCAGCCAGCCAAACCAATCTTTTTTGTGATAGATACCTCCATAAGCAAGAGAAAGGAAATCACTATTTTCCCTTGCTTGTACATCTGAAGAAATGGTAAAGCTTAAAGAAGATGCTCCTTAAGAAGAGAGAAGACTGCTTAAGGGGGAGACTGAATGAACCTTTATTTCAAACACCATGTTTAACTCCACATTACGTTTGCCCTTCGGTTACAACATATTAACACCAATAATTCAGTTTGGGTGATACTGTTTTCAAATCTGGGTGACTCATTATATTCAACTTACATAGCAGGATTACTTACTTAGCTCTCATTGAGTTCTAGTTGATATCTATCCAGCCTCAACTTCATTACTGGTAAGTGCTTAAGGCACTATATTTCAGAAGGCTTCACGTTCAAAATTCATGAATCCTCACATCTGCTAACTATGAAATGTTCAATGTTCTCTGTTCTATTTTCTTAGTTGGGGCTAATAAGTTTGAACACGGTCTCCTCAATGCTTTCAACAGCAGTAGTTCCAGACTGCAAAGGTCTTTGATAATCCATAATCAATCTAAATCCTTAGTTCTGTAACATTAAGGTCAATGAATATTTTCCATGTCTCTGAATAAGATATATAAAACAAATCATAGCCAATGACTAACTATGCAAAAGTGACTCGGTGAGCATAGATAAATGATCTAGCAGTTTCTCAAATGATCAAGTTTTATAAAACCTGGAGAATCCACAGCATTCACTATGAAAAGATCTGTCAGTAAACATGGTTTATTTTGATTAGTATTCACTCACCTGGGGTAGATTTATACCATTATCTTTTGCCACATCAGAGATATAAGTACCTCACCTCCCAAAGATCCCACAGACTAGGCCTCCTCCGAATTCCATCTGCCGGCCAATGTTGGTTGGCGACTCCCCGGGGGAGGGCCTTCTCTGTGGCTGCCCCGGCCCTCTGGAACGATCTCCCCATTGAGATCCAGACCCTTACCACTCTGTCGGCCTTCCGCAAAGCAACTAAGACCTGGCTGTTCCGGCAGGCCTGGGGCTGTTGAACTATCCAGCCCCCTCCGAGGTT